TTGAGAACCATCAGGCTGGAGGTGTGCTTCACCCGCGCCTTTGATGCTGAGACTTTGGCTGGTCAGCACAATTAGACATGCGGAGACCAGGAAGGCAAACACTGCTTCTAATTACTGTTTCGATGAGCCAATTTGTTGAGTGATCATTGAATCGATAAACACTACAGTGGTGAAATTGGAGTAATTAACGGTTCGATTTTCGACAATTTAGCTATTATTGCCACCTTCGCTAAATGAGGGAATCTCTAGCTTTTGAAGAATGTAGTAGCAAGGAATCGCGTACCGCAAATACTGCGACCCTTGTACATTCATCGTTTATCCCACGTTGGGTTCGCATGTGAAGACGAGACACCCGGTGAATAAAGTACTTATTCCATCGACCGTTTCTCCCTTTTCTCAACAGCTTTCTAGAACTCGTTTTTTCGCCTTCATCGGAGGACACATTCTTCAACCGCGACGCAGTATCGAATTAAATGGTTAAACGCAATAAGCACGTTGTTAGAAGACGAGTTAATGAACTAAGGACAGGTTCTACAAGCTCAGTCATTAGAAGAAGGGGTAATACGGGTGGAAACCAATCTGCAGTGGCTCGGATTGCTTCTTACCCACAAAAGAAAGACATTAAAAGTGAGATGGCGAAAAACGAAAAAAACGTTGCAAGTAGGCATTATGCATTTGAACGTATATAATGTATCCCTCTTGCCATTTTCACACTCCTAAGATCTTCGAGAGATCACGGACAAACTCACCTCTCCAAGAAACCTGAATATGCCTTCAATTTCGGTAACTTCTCCGGGGAAGCTTTTCATGGTGTACTGCACACCGACCTCGGAAGGGACAGAGTCAAAACCACAGGCGCCTATAACAAAGACCCCTTTGTCTTTTGCCTTTTCGTTGAAATTAAGTTGTATCGACTCTAGAAACTGAGAATCACATAATAGTCTGGAGGCATGATTCATGGAGAACATACCACTGGCTCTCCACTGATGTCGAGATGGTGAGCCTCCCCGTCGAGACATGCGGAGACAACTTCTTCGCCGTACAGAGCGTACTACCAAAGGATATGTTAGAGGGACGGGAAAGGAGGCAACATTTACCGGTCCAACACAGTTGAGGACAATGCGCGCCTCTTTAGCCATCTTGAGGAGAGATTCTGGATTTTCAATGGATGCCTGTACTCGAGGTATGCGTCGTACGAAGTCGAGACCTATCAGTTAAGGTATGGCTATTGTGGATAATCGTGGAGTAGATGGGAAAGGGAGTCATATCCAACTTCAAAAGCATGAAATTTTGAGGCCATCCCAAG